TCCCCACAAAGCAGAGGGGAAGCTGGTGGTGCAGAGACTTTAGCAAGTGGGAAAAGAGAGAAAGGCAGTGAAACTTCCCGTGCTTGGCAGGGCTTTGGTCAACTTTGATAGCAAAGCAGTTTGCTGTAGGTGCCCAGGGAGCTTGGTGCTGATCGCTCAGTTCAACCTTCCTGTTAAATCCACCCATTTATGATCATTCTTTCAACTGTGCCTACATCTAAACAACACCCTGACTACGTCATCATTACTAATAAAAGCCAAACGCCTCCGAGTGTCTCGGTGGAGCTCAGGGTTGTTGCCTTCTTGCAGTAACGCTGTTGCTGGAGGCTACTTAGTTTGCACTACCTTGCCATCACCATGGGCCCAAGGGGCCTCAGGAGCTCAGCCCTTCTGTCCCATCCCTGCAGGAGGATCGAGGACTGCCTGCCACCGCTGGAGAGCTCCCCATCCAAGCGTTTCTCCCCCTCCAAGCGGAAGCAGTACTACATCAACAAGGCCATCCGCAACTCCGACCTCATCCCTAAAGCCAAGGGGCGCAAGAGCCTGCAGAGGCTGGAGAACAGTAAGGCTTGGGTGGCTGTGCTCTACCCCCAATTCCCTACACTGCCTGCAGTGAGGGCTTCTGTGAGGACCCTGCCCCCAGACTCAGGGGCTCTGCTGTTGCTTTCCTCCCCAGCTCGCTACTTGATGTCACTCTTGGAGCGAGATGAATGTGGCAGCAATGAGGCTGAGCTCGCCCACTCTGCCACCCCGAGCATCTTCACCGAGGCTTGCAACAACGAGACCTATGTGGAGGTAGGATGGGGCTGCCTGTTTTGCTGCCCTACAGCATGTGGAGTGCTTGTACCTTGCTGCCCCAGGCAGAGGGGCTGCCTGCATTCCCCTCAGAGTCCATACACGCGTCTGGCCTGGCAGTGGGTGCTGTGCTTTGGCTGGTTTGGGGTCTGCTGCTGTTTTTGTTGTATTTGAAGTGCTGCTGGGAGCTCTTTGGGCAAGCTGCAGAGGGTAAGCTTGAGTGAGTTGCAGCACTTCCTCCACACCAGGCCTCTTGCCAAACACCTCGGTTGCTCCATACACCCCGGGTGGTGTTGCTGTACCTCCCCTGTGACCTCGTCTTCTGGCACCTCTCCTGTGTTAGATGTTCACAGTTCTGGCTGCAGGGCTATAAGTGTGGTCTCTGTGCACTCTGGGTGCTGTGAAGCTTTTCCGCTCTTACTCAATCCAGGCTTGGAAAGCCTGATGTCTATCTGGCTGGGTTGCGTGGATGGATGGAGGTGTCACCACTTGGACTCCCTGCAGAAAGCCACCTTCTTGTTGGTTCTGAGTGCCAAACATCCATCTCCTCGAGGCACAGGCTTGGGCATACCGGGAAGTTCCCTGTAATGTCTGCATTGGGGCTTCATGCTTGTGTTGTCAGATCTGGAATGACTTCATGAATCGGTCAGGAGAAGAGCAAGAGCGTGTCCTGCTTTACCTGGAGGAGGAAGCCAGGAAGAAGCACAAGAGGAAGCTGCCCTTGAAAAACAAAGAGAAGTGGAAAGGTGCTGGGAGGGGAAGCCGGGTGGGGAGAGCCTCTCCCTTCCCTCCCTTACATGCACTTTGGGAAGGGTGCTTCTTCCTGAGGTGCTCCCTGCACCATCCAGTCATGGCAGGGATATGACAGTGCCTGAAGGGAGTAGAGTCCCCACAAAACCCCATCGTGAACCTGAGTGGGAGTTTATGTGGGCCAGCTGTGGCTGCAGTAGCTGGCTGGGGTCCTGGGGGGCACATTGAGCACCTCAGTGAGGTGATGCCACGGGGCTGCAGACCCCATTTAAATCCTTTTCTTCCCCCTGCTGGCTCCAGAGCACCCTGCCTACACACCCAAGGAGTGCTTCCAGCGCATCAGCCGCCGCCTGCGCTCCACCCTGAAGCGTGGCAGGATCCCTATGGTGAGCTGGGGACATGAGGGGTGGGGGCAGGGCTTTGGGGTGTGTGTTGGTGCTGTTCCTGAGCTGCCAGCAAGTGCTGAGCTCCTGGGAATACACACCTGCTTTTGTGTGACCTTTGGAGCAGTGGCTTGCTGACAGCAGATGTTCAGCTCCCCATGCAGAGAGGTTTTCATGGGTTAGCTGAGGTCTTCTGGGACATGCAGGTTGTTTTTTACCTGGTTGTTTCCCTGTCTCAGTTCAATAAGTGGAAACCAAGCATGCTTGCCAACTGGAGCAGCAGTCCAACCTTTGGGGTCTTCAGACTTGTCTATACAGGGATACTTTCAAAAACTTAATTGCCTTTTGAAAGGGGTCAAACTGCACAATGTGCTGAGCAGGCAAACCCGTGCTGCAACACAGTGGCCTTGTGCCCAAGCCCAGGGTGCCTGGCTCCCTGCTCTGTTCTCAGTGGTGCTGTTTGTTTTCCCTGCTCTAATTAGAGCTCTGTCTCTAAAAGCAGCCTCAGCTCCTCCTGCCTCTTGGCTTCTTCTCAGTTTGCTCTCAACTGAGACTGCTGCTTGTCTCTGGGGTTGCAGTGCTGTGGAGAGCTGCACTCCAGCTGAACTTTGGCTGTCAGGAGAGGAGGAGATGGGAAGCTCGAGGCTCTTCTGGCTATTGCCACTTCACTTGTGAGGAACGATGCCAGCATTTGGCACGCAAAGTGTGGAGCTGGCAGGGCTGGATTCCCTTCTGCTCTGGGCCTCGCTGCCACGTACCTCCCTGTTATCCTGCATCTCCTGCCGTGCTTTGAGCTTTGTGGATGTAGCAGAGGACAGTGGTTGGGATGGCCAAGTATTTGCTGTTGGGTCTGCAGCTCTTCAAAGGCAAAGCCCTCTGGCTGTGGGGCATGGAGCTACCTGGGGACAGGCAGCTTGGGCATGGCACACCGTCTCCCCTTAATGGGATTTGCCCTCTCCTCACTGATTCTTTTGCTGTTCCTTGCAGGGGATGCTGGAATGCATGGAGGAGGAGCTGCTGACCTTCTTTTCCGTCACTCCACACTCTGTGTACACAGCACTGATGGACAACAGGTATCCCTGCTGTGGGCACGCGAGGGGGCTGAGCCCAGAGCTCCTGGCTCCTTGTGTCCCACTCTGATCCTTGGGCTCCCTGGCACAGCTCAGGGAAGGGCAGTGCTGGTGTGAAGCACATCAGCTCTAACCCAGTCCCCTGCCTCCCCCAGCTTTGAGCGACTCCTGCTCCACGCACTCTGCCAGTACATGGACCTCGTCTCTGCCAGTAAGAGCCTCGTGTTTGTTTTTGTTTCTTGTTTTTCCTTTTTGTTGCTATCTCCCCTCTCCAGCCCAGCTTCTTCCTCCCTGCCTTCCCTGGCCCCACCTCTCACTGCAGCTTGCAGATAACCATACTCTGCTGCTTCCCTGCACCAGGCTGTGGCCTCTGAGCATGGCCAGAGCAGCTCTACCTCATGATGCCACATGCAGCAGTGCTTAGGCTTCCCCTCTTATTTCTGGGCTTGGGTGGCTCAAAGCAGATCACTGTGCTCAGCCCCACTCACTGCCTCCCCCCCCCCCTGCAGAGCCTGGTTGTGGGTTTCTCTGTAGGTGTCATTGCCACAGCAGGGGAGAGAAGCTCTACTCTGTGTCTTTGTGGAGTTTGCTCCTTGTTCAAAACAGCACAAGAGCCCTGATAATATGAAGCAGAGTGGGTGCCTGCGGAGGGGGCTGGAGGTGGCAGCTCCTCTGCAGGGCATGAAACAGAACCGCAGGAACCCAGTGAGCTGCTGGTGGGGGCTGGGCTTTGGGTTGAAGCATTCTGTTAACTCTTCCATCTTGCCCACCAGGTTCGGATATCGAAGGGAAACGCCAAATGAAAGTGAGCAACAAGCACCACGTCTTCCTGCCCCCAGAGCTGCTGCTTTCGGACTACCTGGAGCAGCTGAGCTGACAGCGAGGGGCTGCCCTGCCCCATGCTCAGCACGCTGAAGGCTTTGCTTCCCCACTGATGGCCTCCGTGGGCTCTGTTCCTTGTGACCTGCACATGGGGCTCGTCCCTTCCTTGCTGAATAGGCTGAGCCTCCCCGCAGGCACTGCAGTGTGTTGTGGGGCTGCAGATGGGCCATGGCAGGGCATCCTGGCCCCATCCGTGTGCCCACAGCCCGTGTGCTTTTAATGATGCCAGGCCCTTGGCATGCTGCTGGGCTGGATGCTTCTGGGCTCAGCCAGCGGAAGCGCCTGGAGCCTGTGGGGTGGCTCTGTGTGTTCTGACACCTCCGTGACAACGGGCACAGCCCTCAGGCATCCCTGGAGCTAGCTGGCTGGCCGCAGCATGGAGCAGGGCTGTTTTTAAATGTAACATAGCTGTCTTTTTATGTGTATATTTGTATGTGTGGGGGCGGGAAGGGAGAAGTGCTGGCCCCAGGGATGTGCTCTGTGTGCAGCCACCTGCAGCAGGTTGGGGCATGAGCAAGGGTGGTGCCTCGTGTTTGTGCGTGTGCGTCAGAAACGGGCGGCATTCGTGCCGGAACAATAAAAGTGTGGTGCTCCAATGATCTGTGGTTTGTGTTTTAGGGCTGGGAGGGGGGGAACTGTGGGGCCAGGGTGGGCTTGGAGCCTGGTGCTGAGCCAAAAGGGACAAGGCTGTGGTAGAAAAAGAAAAATATGGAACGCTTCACGAATTTGCGTGTCATCCTTGCGCAGGGGCCATGCTAATCTTCTCTGTATCGTTCCAATTTTAGTATATGTGCTGCCGAAGCGAGCACGAGTCGCTCTTCCCCCAGAAGAGTATATATAGCCCAATAGAGTAGTTCTTTTCCGAATAGAGTGACTTTTAAATTTACTTCTAAAAAACCTCTGCTTCGTAACACACTCATTTTAACTGCAATTATCCTAGCTCTTAATGTTTTTACCGTAATATTTCCATATTCTAAGACTTTATAATCTATTCTTCGCACCGCGGGGCTTCTGGGTAGCGCTTTATGCAAGTTACCACCCGGCGGTGAGGACCTCCGCCTGGGCTGTCCTCGGCAGTGCCTGAAAGAGCGCGGCGCGGCGCGGGCAGCCCCGCGGGGGTCCTGGCACGGCGGCGCATGCGTGGTACCGCTCCAGGTGGCATCCTTCCCCCCCATCCCCTTAAACCTCCGCGTCGTTTCTTATCGCTGAGGGAGCGGTGATGGATTTGGCGTACGTGTGCGAATGGGAGAAGCGGCCGAAGAGCGACCACTGCCCTTCCATCCCTCTGGTGTGCGCCTGGTCCTGCCGCAACCTCATCGCCTTCACCACCGACCTTCGCAACGAGGAGGAGCGCGGTGCGGACCCCCCCCAAATCCCCCTTTAAACCCCCCGTACCCCAACCCCGCGATGCTCTCGGGGTCCCTCCGCTATTCCAGCAGTATCAGCGGGCCCCGTTCCCTGCTGCAGGCCGGTAATGGTTTGGGGGTTTCGTTTCTGGCTTCGTGCAGATCTCACCCACATGGTTCACATCATCGACACGGAGCATCCCTGGGACGTCCATTCCGTCAACTCCGGCCACGTGGAAGCCATCACCTGCTTGGAATGGGATCAGTCGGGTGAGCTCGAGGCCTTCTCAACCGAGCAGTTTTTGGGTTGGAAGGGACCTTTAAAGTCACCTCGTTCCAACCCCCTGCTGTAGGCAGGGACACCGGGTTGCTTGCAGCCCCATCCAGCCTGGCTTTGAATGCTTCCAAGGAGGGGCATCCACAGCCACACTGAGCACCCAGTGTCTCACTGCCCTCATAGTAAAGAATTTCTCCCTGATATCCACTCAAATCGACCCTCTTCCAGTTTAAAACCATTTAAAACCCCTTGTCCCATCGCTGTCTTCTCCTCCTAAAAGCTCTCCCCAACTTCCCTGCAGGAAAACCACTCCTACTTCAGGCCACTTTCCACACCAGTGCTGTGCCACTCCGTGTAATTTGGCATTGCTTCGCAGCTACAAAGTGCTAGGCTCCATCAGAGCTGCACAGGGTGGTTTGCTTCCTCACCTGGAGATTGGCAGCACCCAGGGTTCTTACAGGGCTGTGTGTCTCTGCAGGCTCCAGGCTGCTCTCAGCAGATGCAGACGGTCACATCAAGTGCTGGAGCATGACCGACCACCTGGCCAACAGCTGGGAGAACACAGTGGGCAGCATGGTGGAGGGAGATCCAGTGGTGGCCCTGTCCTGGCTGCACAATGGTGTAAAGCTGGCGTTGCATGTGGAGAAGGTTCGTCAAGGGTTGGTTTGGGTCATTGATGGGGGAGCTGGGAAACTCCTCTGTGTTTTTCTGCTCTGCCGTGGGTTTCTTCTGTGGTGCTGGGCATGTCAGATAGGGAGATCTTTCAAGTTAAATGCTTTCTAGCTCCTGCTGAGGAATGCAGGTGGGGTGCCTCGTTTCTCTTGGTGCTTTAAGCTTGTCTTAGTCAGCCTATTTCAATCTCCATGGCTGGAAAACGGAGATAAAACCACATGCTGGTCTCCCATGGGTACCTCAGCAGAAATGCAGTTGAGGTAAGGAGGTTTGTTGCAGGGATTTGGTAACGGGAGCCAAACGTGTACAGAGACCAGCTGTTTGTTTTGAAGCGTGTCTAATTCCAATTCCAAAAAAAAAAAATAAAGTCTTTTCTGCATTCTCAAATGTTAAGTCTTGCACAGAAACGTAATGGGGCCGTGCATTGTGTTGGGCAGCAGCTGCTTATAACGTGGGGAGAAGCCTTCCCCACGCTCACATCTCAGAGCTGGGTGTATGAGCTCGATGCCTGGATTCTGTTTAGCCCTGCTGACCTTGCTGCAGCGACTCAGGAGAGCAGAACTCTGCAGCTCTGGGTGCACTGCAGGCATCAGATGCTGACATCTTTGTGTTGTCCATCTCCATTCGCAGTCTGGAGCGTCCAACTTTGGGGAGAAGTTTTCCAGGGTCAAATTCTCTCCGTCGCTGACTTTGTTTGGTGGGAAGCCTATGGAGGGCTGGATTGCTGTGACCATCAGTGGTCTGGTGACAGTCTCCCTCCTGAAACCCAACGGGCAGGTGCTGACATCCACAGAAAGCCTTTGCCGCCTCCGTTGCCGCGTTGCTTTGGCAGATGTCGCCTTCACTGGTGGGGGAAACATCGTGGTGGCCACTTCAGATGGCAGCAGTGCCTCCCCTGTCCAGTTCTACAAAGTCTGCGTGAGCGTGGTGAATGAGAAATGCAAGATAGACACTGAAATCCTACCTTCCCTCTTCATGCGCTGCACCACCGACCCTGCCCGCAAGGACAAATACCCAGCAATCACCCACCTGAAATTCCTTGCTCGGGATATGTCAGAACAGGTGAGCATCTGCTGTTGATGAAACAAGTAGGATTTAAGTGGGTATAGAAAGGAGACAGCAGTTTATTCCTCCCATGGCTTCATCTCAAGGCTGTAGGAGGGAGCAATCGCATCCTGCAGTGATTCTCTGCTGTTTTTGGGCTGGCTGCTCATCCAGCTTCATTCAAGCAGGTTGCATTTGATAGGTCTGGGAGTGTCGTGGATGAGGCTTCCAGCTTCCTGGAAAAGCAGTCTGAAAAGCAGTCTGAAAAGCCCCGTTCTTCATTAATCTGATAATGCATTGCCTTTATTTTATGACTCTGCACATTGGGTGTTGTGGGAGTTCTGCTGGACAGTCCGGAGAGGTTCTGAGATATGAAGCCTTCAAAGCAGTCCCTCTCCAGAACACTTGGAGCTCTTGATCCACGTGACTTAATTTAGCAGCTTAACTCTATTTGCTGGGGTAATACGACTGTGGGAATCAGAGTGGTTCAATGAAGCTGCAAAACTCTTCTCTCTCCTGCTCCCTGTGGTTGGGATGGAGTGCTGTGTTGGAGAACACAGCTTCTGTTTTGCCTTCAAAGTCAGCTCTGTTCTTGCCCTTTTCTTCATGTTCAGTCTGTGATGCATGGGGCAGCATTGGCAGGTTACAGATTTGTGAGAGGTGAGATCATCAGTGATATGGAGAAGCACAGGCTGTGATAACACTGCACAGTTCTGCCTCTCTTTCATTCTAGCTAGAGCTGGAGCCCTCACCATTATGATGATACAATCCTTTGCTTTTCATTAGTGCTGTATGGGCTAATTAGGAAAAAGAGCCTCGGAGCAGAAGGGGAGAGGGGCTGAAAATGTAGCTGGGTAATGTTGTGAATGCTGTGCCTACAAACAGTGTGGTTTTCCCTTCTGCAGGTGTTGCTTTGTGCTTCCAACCAGAACAACAGCATTGTGGAGTGCTGGTCTCTGCGGAAAGAGGGCTTGCCTGTCAACAACATCTTCCAGCAAATCTCTCCTGTGGGTGAGTTCCAGCACCAAGGACTTAAGAACAGGAGTGTCTGGTCTTGAGGAGGTCTGAATGAGAGTGGTAAGGCAGGGAACTCCAATCCATTATCACATATTTATTTGTATCTCAGGTGTTCTCAGCCACACGCTCTGTTCCATCCATTTGTTTGCATCTTAGGCAACAAATTGATGGTTTCCAGGAAGTGGTTTATAAGTTGTTACTTTCACTCAATAAAAGGCATTTTTCTGTTTTGCTGTGCAACCACTCTTCCTGCTGAGAGCAGAGCAAGCTGAGCCTTCTAAAGGAAAAAATGGTGCAGTGTGCAAGTAGCTTCATTGAGCTGCCCTGTCTGCACATCTCTTCCACTTTTTCAGTTATTTGAAATATAACAGCATCAAATCCGTGCTGTTTGCTCTGCTGAAATGCAAAGGGTTGTTTAACATAAAGAATTGTTGATCAGCACCAGCAGAGCCTTCCATCAAAACTGATAGGGCGAAACAAGTCATTATTGGTGTGGTTACTGAGCTCAGAAGAATGGGGGGAGATGCAGGGGAAATACACTGGTCTGCACAAAGAAGTGTGGGCAGAAATCAGGAAGGGGCACTGTTTTCTGACCCCTTTGGACTGAGATGCCTCACTTTGTTTTTCCAAGTTGGAGACAAGCAACCCATGATCCTGAAATGGCGAATTCTTTCTGCCACCAATGATTTGGATCGTGTCTCAGCTGTGGCTCTGCCCAAGTTGCCCATCTCCCTCACAAATACTGATCTGAAGGTGGCAAACGACACCAAATTCTTCCCTGGACTGGGTAAGGAGTCTCTGTTTTCTTTCTCTTAAATATCTGATGTCTGCCTGAAACTTTCCCTCCTCATCTTCTGAATTGTAGCTGTGTGTAACTCAGAACAACACATATGAGAGATTGATGCAGAAACTTTCCAAGGCATTGCTCGTCCTGTTTCATTTCCAGGGAGGATGCATACCTCTGAAATGCTGGTGTGGCTTCAAGGCACGAATATGCCTACAAGCCCACAGCCTTTGGGTGCTGTGTTGTTGCCACACGCACTTTCAGTGGTTGTTTTGCTGGGTGAGGTCAGGGTTATACCAGAATTTGCTTGCTCAGCTTTGGTTGTCATCTCTCCCCAGGTCTGGCATTGGCTTTTCACGATGGCAGTGTCCACATTGTTCATCGCCTGTCCCTGCAAATGATGGCTGTCTTCCATGGCTCTTCTTCCCAGCGCCCAGTGGATGAGCAGACTATCAAAAGGCAGAGAACTACTGGCCCCCTGGTTCACTTCAAAGCCATGCAGCTCTCCTGGACGTCTCTGGCCTTGGCTGGCATCGATAGCCATGGGAAGGTAGTGTGTTCTGTGTTGCTGCTCTCATGGGATCTCTCTTTATCTCTCTAAATGGTGATGGATCATTCTGGAAAGCTCTGGGAATGCCATTTCCAGCTGCATGATCCGTGTTAAACAAGGTGTGATGCATCCCTTTACTTTGGTTTGTATCTTCAGGCCAGCAATGAGCTGCAGGTCACCCTGTGTTACGCAGTAGCTTTTGTGGAGTGTTTTCAAGCCAGTTCTTGATAGGAATTTTCCTTTGCCTCCTCCATTCAGCTGAGCATGCTTCGTATCTCCCCCTCCATGGGCCATGTGCTGGATATGAACACCTCCCTGCGCCACTTGCTGTTCCTGTTGGAGTACTGCATGGTGACTGGTTATGACTGGTGGGACATCCTGCTCCACGTCCAGCCCAACATGGTCCAAAACCTGGTGGAGAAGCTGCATGAAGAGTACACACGGCAGAGTGCAGCCCTGCAGCAGGTCAGCAAGAGTGGAATCTCCCTGCTTTACAGCAGAGGGAGTGGGCACAGGGAGAGGGTCTCAGCAACAGGGCCACAGAGATGATCAGGGGACTGGAGCACCTCCCCTATGAGGACAGGCTGAAAGAGCTGGGCTTGTTCAGCCTGGAGAAAAGAAGGCTGTGGGGTGAATCATTGCAGCCTTCAGTACCTAAAGGGAGCCTACAAACAGGAGGGGAATCAACTCTTTGAAAGGGTGAGTGACAGCAGGATAAGGGGAAATGGTTTTAAGCTGAGGGAGGGGAGATTGAGGTTGGACGTCAGGGGGAAATTCTTTACAGAGAGGGTGGTGAGGTACTGGAACAGCTGCCCAGAGAGGTTGTGGATGCCCCATCCATCCCTGGAGGTGTTCAAGGCCAGATTGGATGGGGCCCTGGGCAGCCTGGTCTAGCATTAAATGTGGAGGTTGGTGGCCCTGCATGTGGCAGGGGGTTGGAGATTCATGATCCTTGAGGTCCCTTCCAACCCTGGCCATTCTGTGATTCTGTGAACAGAGCTGTAACAACCTGCCTGTGCTGTCTCTGAATGCTCTGCTGGAGCAATGCTTGAGGTGTGAAGAGCCACTCTTGGCACAGTGTTTGTTGTCACTATTTTCGACCTGTTGGGAAGTTCTGGTGAGATGTTAGAGGCTATTTTTGACAGAGGTCGGGTCAGACTACTGGGAGCAATAGGACTGTATGTGAGTGAGACAGCATTCACTGTTCAGTTGTTCACACAGCAGAGATGCAGAGCAGAGGATAAAGCAGTTGATGAGCTGATCCTCTTTCTAGCTTCACTCCTGAATGTTTTCTCATGTATCTGTCCCTCAGGTTCTCGCCACACGCATTGTTGCCATGAAAGCATCTCTTTGCAAGCTCTCCTCCAGCACGATAGCCCGTGTTTGTGACTACCATGCCAAGCTGTTCCTGATTGCCATCAGCTGCACCCTGAAGTCACTGCTGCGCCCGCATTTCCTCAACACCCCAGATAAGAGTCCTGGGGATCGGCTCACAGAGATCTGCTCCAAGATCACAGATATAGGTGGGGATTGCTGGTAATGTCAGGCACAGCTTTCTGAATATCCTGCATCAGCTCCTTTTAGACTCAGTGTGAAATGTCACAAGCTTGTAGTTGCTTCCTGGGTTTGAGAAAGAAGGAGGTGAGGGTGGAGTGTGGGTCCATCTCCTGATTGAACCAGATGTTTTTGCTTCTGTTTCAGACATTGACAAGGTGATGATCAACTTAAAGACAGAGGAGTTTGTCCTGGAGATGAACACGTTGCAATCTCTGCAGCAACTCATCCAGTGGGTGGGGGATTTTGTGCTCTATCTACTGGCCAGCCTGCCTAACCAGGTGAGAGCCTGGGCTTCCAAAAACAGTCTTTTATGAACCTCTTACACCTCTGAGCTCCGTGGCATCTTCTACAAGCCTTGCCTACTATCCTGCAAATGGAACAGCAGCTCCAGCAGGCTGAGTTTAAGCCCCAATCCCAAAATGTTTCTCTTTGCAGGGCTCTCCTGTGAGGCCAGGCCACAGCTTCCTGCGAGATGGAGCATCCCTGGGCATGTTCAGGGAGCTGATGGTGGTGATTCGTATTTGGGGGCTGCTGAAACCAAGCTGCCTCCCTGTCTACACGGCAACCTCTGACACTCAGGACAGCATGTCCCTCCTCTTCAGGCTTCTAACTAAACTCTGGCTGTGCTGTAAGTGTTTGCCAGTTTCCTCAAACAAAAGGATCTTGCTTAATTTGGATTGTGCACGTTAGAAATAATTGCAGGGGGTAACCCTTGAGTGGGTCTGTAGTGTTTGGAAAGGGCAAGTGCAGCTGCCAGCCTCATTGTTCCCTGTGCTGTGTTGGAGGATGGAGGAGGAAACTGCATCCACTTCTCTCAGTCTGTAAATGAGGTGTGTAAAGATCACGCTGGTTTTTCTCTCTTTCTGCTTCATTTTCCATGCAGGTCGTGAAGAAAATCACATCACAGAGCCAGATGATACCCTGATAGATGAGTGTTGCCTCCTGCCCAGCCAGTTGCTCATTCCCAATATTGATTGGTTGCCTATCAACGATGGCATTATCAGCAAGCTGCAAAACAAACAGCTTGTCAGGCTGCAGTTTGGAAAAGCTCCTGGGCTCATTGGTCACACTGTCTCTTCCCAGTTTGATGCCTTTGTAAGGTACAAAGATATAGGAACAAATAGATGGTGTGGTTGAAATCTCTCCAGCTCTGAGGGGTCATTGGATCTGGGATGCTTGTGTCACAAGAGGGTTTATTCTCTTTGCTTGAGTTCCCAGTCATTAGTGAGTTAAAGAACTGAAATGAGATGGCAGGAGGAGGGGGGAGAAGTGCTGGTTTGTGTTTAGATTGATGTCAGCATGCCTTTGAATCCAGTGGCACTTCACAGAGTATGTAGTCATAGCCTGGGCCCCACTGGCCATTGAAATGCAGCTCACTGTCCTGGCAACAGCTTGTAGAAAATGATACCCTAGAAATGATCCCATTCTTCTTCCTGCATAGGGCACCTGGTCAGCCCAAAATTGATCATCTGAGAAGGCTTCATTTAGGAGCATACCCTACAGAAGAATGCAAGTCGTGTACCAGGTAAGCGATGCAGACTAATCCCCTCCATGCAGAGGAGGTCTTGGCAGAAGCTCAAACTGCCTTTTGTCATTCAAAAGCTCCCTTGGTCTCTGTTTACCATCCCAGCTGGTATCCCAGTAACTTCTCATGTGATTTACGCCTGCAGGAGGAAATGCTGCTTCTAAATTAAGAAATTATGGCACTTTGCATTTAAAGAAAGCACTTGTGGCTATGTTTAAGATATCCCTGATGTGGAAGAGGAAAATCCTTAAATGCTTGTTGGAGAGCAGCAGGGCTGATTCAGGATAGCTGCTACTATCATTGCAAGTGTGGCTGTTTAAATTTAAAGTCTCACTGCCTTGCCTTGCAGAGTAACCACAGCTCTTTGACAATTAACTTCATTCCTGAAGTTGAAATAATCTTTATCTAAAGGCTGAATGCTGCAATGTGAGATAAATATGGTCTTGCTTGAACAGAAAAATATGAGGGTGGTCAGATGACAAAGGTAAACAGAGACCAGAATTTGCCTGTAGGGTCTTTATTGGTGATTTATTGGCTCAGCCTGCAGGCTCCCCTGTTCTTGGGGAGGAGGCAGTAAGTGCAAATAATGGCAGCACCCACAGTCCTGTTTTTTGGGTGATCTTTCAAACTTCAGTTTGCTTTTGGAGTTCTTTTGTGCTGTCCCCTCACAAAAGAGCATCCATCACCATCACTTGATTGAATTGGCTCTAATTATTAGTTTTAATAGAAAGTCTCTGTAGCAGATCATTTATACAGGATTGAGTGTCTGCTGTTTTGTGTAGAAATAACAGCTGGGGGCTGTTGTATGAAGGCATCACAGAATGGCCAGGGTTGGAAGGGACCTCAAGGATCAGGAATCTCCAATCCCCTGCCACATGCAGGGCCACCAACCTTCTCATTTAATGCAAGACCAGGCTGCCCAAGGCCCCATCCAACCTGGCCTTGAACACCTCCAGGGATGGATGGGGCATCACAGCCTCTCTGGGCAGCTGTTCCAGCACTCTCATAGCAAAGAACTTCCTCTGACATCCAACCTCAATCTCCCCTCCCTCAACTCCAAACCATTTCCCCTCGTCCTGCTGTTATCAACCCTTTCCAAGAGTTGATTCCCCTCCTGTTTGTAGGCTCCCTTTAGGTACTGAAATGCTGCAGTGAGCTCACCCCTCTGTCCCAAGATGTTTCAGTGTTCAAAAACATCACCTGCAAATGGCAGAAGATGATTTCCTCCTCCCTCCCTGCTCAATGTATGACCGTTGCTGGTTTGTTTCCTGGCCTTCCCATCTTTGTGCCAGGCTGTAACTCTCTTCTGCTTTCTTCCTTTCCAGGTGTGGCTGCGTTACGATGCTGAAATCTCCAAACAAAGTCACTGCTGTGAAGCAGTGGGAGCAACGCTGGGTCAAAAACTGCCTGTGTGGGGGGCTGTGGAGGAGGATGCCCCTCAGCTATTCCTGAGAGCAATGGGTGCCATGTGGAAGAGCTGGGAACGAGGAGCTGCAGCCCTTGTGAGACAGCACCCAGTGCTTGGCTGGGTGTGCTGATATGTTTTTCTTGCATTGGTCTTTCAGCTTCAACGAAAGAAAAGAGGGAAGGAAGGAAAGGAGCTTTTGAGGGGCTCCTTTTAGGCTTTACTCTGTCAAATTTTCCCATTGCCACCAAAGGCAACGTCAGCTGGAAGCCAATGGCCAGGGAAGGGGGTGGAAAACCTGCTGCCCTCGTGTGTCTCTGGGCTGACCAAGCAGAATGACTGAGCCCTGCAGTCAGACGTGGCACAAACTGAGTGGTAATGAGGGGCTCTGGGGGTACACAGAGCATCTCCAAGGAGGGAGGAACAAACACTTGGTTCCTTGTGTTTCTCCTTTGCTGTGGGCTGCTTGGGAAGCATGGCTGGTCAGTTCCTGTTTCCTTCTGCATCTGAGTGAATTTGGCTCTTCTGCTGGGAGATTTCTTTGTATCTATCTGTGTTCTGATGGATGGAGGAGCAGGAACATGAGGCTTGCTGCCTGGAGCAAACCCAGCCACGTAACTTTGAGCTCTTTTGTAAATAAAAAGCTCCCTTAATTTCGTACAGAATGTTTGGTTTGTTTGCAGAACTTCAGCCCTCTTTCATGTGACTTTGGTTGTGCTGTGAGCCCAGGGCTGCTGATGCATCAACACAAGAAAAGCAGGGAAGTGGTGTGAATTGCACCTCTGTTAGGAAAGGAGCTGTGAGCACTTGTAAAATCAAATGGTTTTCAACTTTCTATCAGATTATTACAGGCAGGAGAGGAGAAAACTTGGGGTAATGAAGATTACTATAAGTCTGCAGCTTCAGACAAAGCTGAGTGCTGCGGTGTGTTGGAGGAAGAGCTTTCCTAGCACACAACTCAGACCGAAATCTGAGTGCTTTTAGCTGCTCTGTGAGGGTGGTTGGAGCCAATGTGGGGCTTGGCTGAATTCCTGCTCAGCTGGATATACATCTGGGTGTCCTCTGAGACCATTTAAGGGAAGGATGATGCCATTTTTTTTTAATATTCACATCCCCCTGGGAGTGAGTTTTCATTTATTAGTGAAAAATTGAGCTGGTGGTGAAGAGCTCAGCTCTCAGCTCTGATGTTTTTCTGCAGAGCTGGTCTGTGCTATTCTTCTGCTAATTAAGGACAGTCAGATGGCTAATTAGGAAACTACAACTCCTTGTCGGGGTGGTTTTCCCCTGTAAGTAAAACTCAGCAACGTGGCTCTTTGCTCATCTCCTTTCTCTGGAGGAGCACTTTGGGGTTATTTAATGTCTGTGGCACACAGAGGAGAGCAGTGCTCTGTTCCTGCAGCCTGCCCAGGCCATGTGCATGCAGGCAGTCCCTTGCCATGCACCCAACCTTACCATGCTGTGGGGTGCAGCATTGCTCCTTTGGGGTGCTCAGAACAATGCTGGGAGGGGGGCGTGGGGTCCAACCCCCATGGCTTATAGGGGCTGTGTGCAGTAAGGGATGGGGTCAGGGATGATGGGGATGACATGGGGCTGTCGTGGCTCTGCCACCCCCAGATCTCAGCATCCCCCAGATCTCAGCATCCCCCCACCCCCCTCAGTGCACTTCTGCCTGCAGCAAATTGGCGTTGCTTTATTGTGGTGGTTGCAATACAGATGTGTCCAGCAAAGCCTGCAGCAGTGCTTCCCCCTCCCTGGGCATCTCTCAGCCCCCCCCCACCCCACCCCAGAAGCTCAGGGTCCCCATTCCCCTCTGTGCCCAGCAGCGTGGGCTCAACGTCTGGCCACGTCTTCATCCCCATCCCTGGAGGCCATGATGCTGTCAATCCATTCAGCATAGGGTGCAATGCGGGTGTAGATGGCTGGCTTCTTGTAGTTGCCACAGACACGAGAGCCAGCTGTCACCACCCCCTCAGCCACACCATTGCAGACCAAAGGACCCCCGGAGTCACCCTGCAGGGACAAAACTCATTGCCACGTGCTTCTCAGGCTGCAGCTTTGGATCAGTCTCACTGCTGTCCCCCCCCGCCAGCCTTCACAGAATGGCCAGGGTTGGAAGGGACCTCAAGAATCACGAATTTCCAACCCCCTGCCACATGCAGGGCTGCCAACCTCCACATTTAACACCACCCAGGGCCCCATCCAACCTGGCCTTGAACACCTCCAGGGATGGACGGGGCATCCACAGCCTCTGTGGGCAGCTGTTCCAGCACCTCACCACTCTGACATCCAACCTCAATCTCCCCTCCCTCAACTCCAAACCATTTCCCCTCGTCCTGCAGTTATCTCCCCTTTCCAAGAGTTGATTCCCCTCCTGTTTGTAGGCTCCCTTTAGGTACTGAAGGCTGCAATGAGGTCACCCTGCAGCCTTCTTTTCTCCATGCTGAACAAGCCCAGCTCCCTCAGCCTGTCTGTAGGGGAGCTGCTCCAGCCCTCTGCTCATCTCTGTGGCTCTCCTCTGGACCCTCTCCAACGGCTCTCTGTCTTTCTTATACTGGGACCCCTCTTCTCACCCAGGTGCAGGGATGAAACCCCATCCCACCCTCACCTCTCCCCAGCATCCTCCCACTCCTCTCCCAAACCCCTCATGGGGATCATCTCCTCCCAGGGCTCTGACCTTGCAGGTATCCTTCTTCCGGGAGTCGGTGCACATCATTTTCTCGGTGATGGTGCGGTCGTGGCGGGTGCGGTGGTTGCAGAGCTCTCTGCTGATCACCGGACGCTTTACTTCCTGCAGCCGATCCGGTCGCTTCCCGCTGTGTGTCACCGTCCCCCATCCCGCAGCATCGCACAAAGTGTCGGCCGCCACCTCTCGGTCCACGCGTTGGAAAGGCAGCACTTTCACGTGTTCGTTCAGCTCCGCTTTTTCCTCCAGCTGCCACCGAGAGAAAAAGGCAGAGGGGTCAGGGGGATGCGGCAAACAGCCGGGCAGCCCCCAGGATGCAGCTTGGGGTCGGCATCGTGGGGATGGATGGAGATGCTCCGACACGGCTGGAGCGGGATGCTCCATGGGATGCAAAGGGGTCGAGGGGACCAAGAGGAGAAGGTAGGTGAGTGCGGGTCGGGAGGAGGGGAGGGGAGCCCACCTGGAGCATCAGGAGGTCGTCCCGGTTGTTGTGGATGTTGCTGCCGGGGTGGGCGATTTGTGCCCTCACATCATACAGCCGTTTGTAGGGCTCCGGTTCCGTCAGTGAATGAGCACCCAGCAGCACCTGGAAGCGTTTATCTCCTCTGTGGGGTGAGGGAAGGGGCTCAGATGGAGCTGAGGGGGCTGCAGGGCTCGGAGTCCCCCCACCCCCAACACCGGGTGCAGCCCCCGCATCCCCACATCACTCACATCTGCTCGGTGCAGTGCGCGGCGCTCAGCACCCACTGGGGGGCGATGAGGAATCCCCCGCAGACGTGCTGCCCGTCCAGCTGCAACGAGGCCATATAGGGCCGCAGGTGGGGCTGCGACTCCGAACCCCCAAGGATCCGACCCCGGGGTTGTGCTGGTGCAGGGCAGGGAGAGACAGCGTTAATTGGGGGACAGCAGAATGAGAGACCCCTCGAGACCCCTCCCCACATCCTTAGGGACTGCAGTGGGGTTTCCTGACTCTACACGAGGTCTCCATTCTCTAAGCTCCCCAATGTCCCTCACAGCCACCCCCAGAGAAGCGCAGTGCGATGCTGCTCTGTGTCACTGTGACCCCACGATGGGTCTCTGCCCACCAACCGAGAGCCCACAGCCCTCCTGGGGACACTCAGCTCTGTTCCCATCCCAATCCCAACCCCGTGCCACGCTCACCATCCACCACGGCCCCCAGCATCAGGACGAGGACAGACCCAGCAGCAGCACACGGCCCCATGGCTGCAGTGAGAGGCTGCTCCGGGGATGGGATGGGGATTGGTTTTATATCCAGTTTGGGGCCACGGGGAGGTCAGGAAGGGAAAAAGGAGGGGATTTCCGCAGCGAGGCGATGCCAAATGTGCTTCAACTCTCCATTATAAAACGGATCAAGCGTTCCTGGACAACTTCAGGAGGAAGCAGCCGTTCCCAGCTGCTGGGTCTGGCAGCAGCAGGAGGGGATTTCTGCAGCACCGAGGGGTCGGTGGCCGTGGGGACAAAGAGGTCGGGGTGTCCAAGGAGTGATGGCCCCTCTGCCTTTCCACTCGGTGCCACAAAGCAGAGTCACATCCCCACAGCCCTGAGCCCTTCCCAGCACCACACAGAGCAGTGGGGCAGCACTGGGGTGGATGTCCCAACCCAATCCTACGGCACAGCCCTCACCCCGACCCCATATGGCCCATGTGCTGCTGCTCTGTGATGTTAAGTGAAGTGTTGAGAAGGGAACCTCGACTGGGACCGCAGGTTGTTTTTTTGCTTTTTATCAGCATCAAATCTCTTGGGGTTTATTTCAGTTATCCTGAGCTACAGCTGTGCCAAAGCCGTGGCACCGGAGTCACCGTGAGCCCGGCGATGTCTGTCTCCATCCACGTGGGGAGGGGGCCGTGCTGGCGGTCTGTGACATCGGGATTTCTGCACTCCGGGCCCGGTCAGAGCGGCTTAACTGCAATGATTCGGGATTTAACGTTAAATACGCCAGGAGATTTTTGCTCACTTAGGGTCAAAAATGGAACGAGGGCAAAGCGCAGAGGCGCAGAGCTGATCCCAGATGCCCCGGCTCTGAATTTGGGGAGTTTCCCGAATGCGGGAGCCGGGTTGAACTCGGCGGTGCCGAGTCTGACCCCACGGGGGGGGCAGTGGGGCTCCGGGGGGGCGGCACTGAACCAAGAGGTGGGGGCTGCTTGGGGGGCAGGCGGCCGATTCCCGGTGGGGAGGGGTGGGATGGGGTCCCAGAGTGGGGTAGGAAACGCGGTCCGGACCCTCTGCCAAACCCGGGGGGCACAGCCGCCTTCTGGAGGTGCGGAGCAGCGCGGGGGGGTTGGATGCGCCGCACGGTGGGGGACATAAAGCAGCACGGGGGCACCGCCCCCGCTCGGTGCCGCCCCCCCCGATCCCTTTGTCTCGCACCCGACCCCCCGCCCGCTCCTTTTACCGACCTCCCCACCACCCCTCCGCGTCCCCGCAGCGGTTCAGCGCCCCGAGAGCGGCCGGGAGCGGCGGGGCGGGGCGGGGGGCGGTGGGGAGGGGGCGGAGGAGGAGGAGGAGGCGGCGGCGGCGGCGGCGGAGGATACAGCCGCGTTCCGCCGAGGCACAGCAGCCCCGCGCTGCGGGAGCCCCGCGGACGTCCCCGGCTCCGCCCGTGCCCCCCCCGCCCGGATTCCCCCCCCCAACCCCCCCAGGGGCGGCTGCAGCCGAGGTGAGTAGGGGAGGGGGGGGGAGGCGGCCGCGGGGACACAAAGGGCCGCGCCCCCTCCGCGCCCCCCCTCCCTTCCCGGCCCCCGCCCGGGGCTGCGGCACCGCGCTACGATCGTCCCCGGTTGCTGCGGGGCTGCCCCGCTAC